TACTGCAGCAGTACTATTCTTAGTACAGCTGATAGAAAAAAACGAAAAATTTAGTCCTGATCAATTGGAATGTTTTAAACGACGTTTGGTGGAATTGTTGACGGAACGTTTTAAAAATCATTGGTTTCCAGACAAACCATTCAAAGGTCAAGGTTATCGTTGTATTCGTGTAAATGGTCATAATCGGAGGGATGCAACTTTAGAAAGTGCAGCTAATGCTGCTGGAGTAAAATATGAAGATCTATCATTACCAGTAGAATTAACACTTTGGGTTGATCCTAATGAAGTTTGCTGCCGATTTGGAGAGAGCAAAGGGTCATATTGTACTTTAGCATCATTTGATGATAAAGAAAATACTGTACCAATTTTTCAAGGAAATAATGAAGGATTAGAAAAAGAAAATAAACAATCTGAGGGGCCGACTAAGATACAGGTTGATATATTACATTATATATTACATTGTGTTTATATTTCATTTTTTATTGGTGTTAAAAAATAATATAATTTAAAAAATTGAATAAATACTAACAATTTTTATATTTTACAGAAATCCCCTTTGACTACTAATACAGATCAGCAACAAAAATCAAAACCACTAAGCTCTGCTAATCAAAATCAACAGCATAGCAATAATGGTACAGGTAGGAAACGCAACCTAAACAGCCCAAGGTTACACCTTAATAGAAATCGTTCCTGGTTTGGTCACTCCTTCAGTATGGGCTATGGTCCTCATCCAATAAGTCAACCATGGTATAATATTATGCCTCCTCATTTTTTGGGTGGTCCATCTCCACCTCCTTTTATGGGTCACAGAGGAAACAAATGGATTCATCCACCTTCCTACCCTACAGGACCTGCCCGTTTCCATCATTGGTCTCCCAAAGCTGCTCTTAAAGTATAAACGATCCCTCCCTATGAAAGTAGTTAAAAAATCTGTTCCTTCCCATAAAAGAAAAAAGAAATTCCAAAATTCTTTTAATAATTAAAAAATTTGTTTTAATATGAAAGTATACATATATTTATAGTGATATTAAAAATATCTTGCTATTATTAATATTATTATTGATATTGTATTCTTAAAAAATTTAATGTGAACATTTTTATATTAGGAACAGATTTATTAACATTTCAGTGACGAAAATTTCCCATTCTGTAATTACAAATGACCTTGTTCGAATTACGACTAAGGCTTACGATTTTTTATGACGAGAAATGTTGCATTATTACATGTTATATATAAATAATTAATTGGATGATAGATGTTTAATTCCGGATGCAAGGTTGCTTGTAAAATAATAGATTAGACAGAATTTAATTAGAATGAATTAAGTCATTGATGTCTAAGACAAAAAAATGTCATATCACTTGTGACACTTTTTCTGATTAATCCTCAAAAAAAGGATTTAATAGAAAATAGATTATAGGTATTTCAAGAGGGAGCAGTATTGATTTTAAATGAATTTCCAAAATTGGATACAATTCCTCTTTAAATTATATGTAATAAATTTTAATGCCTCGTATAGGCGATCTCAGTTCTTTAAATAAACATTTCATGAAATTCTGTCATGTAATAGAAAGAAAAAGTTTCAAAGAACTTTTTCTTTAATGTGTATATATATATCTAGTGTATTCACAAAGACTGGAGCTTCAAAGTTCGCCTTATTTTTCAGTATTGTTATAATGCAGAAAAATAGAGAATTTAGAGATATAATATACCAACTTGTTAAGATAATAATGTCTTATAACAATATTGACAAACCATGTAAGCTTTGAAATTCTAGTAATACTGATTTGAGAATGATGTTTGACGAGTTCAAATCAACAACTTTATCTTTTATTGTATGTGTATATTGTTGTATTGCGTTAACGAATAGAAGAACGATACCTCTTTTGAATTTGCAGGTTCATGGTGCAAAGAAATTTAAAATATTTTTGCTTTAAAGAAGCACACCATACCTGTTATGTAAACATACTGCCTCCAGTAGAGATTCTATTAATAATCGTTTATGTTAGATGATTATTAACAAACGCATGAATTTCATAATTAACATACATTTACAAAAATGAATGTTTATTTTAATTATGCTCAATATAAAAATATATATTGGGCTTATGGTTTTTAAGCAAAACAACTAAAACTTAGCACTTAAGAATATACATCTTTGATGTTAATAGATCTATAGCTTATTGCAGTTGAAACTTTAATTCTACCATACTAATACAGATGTTGTGTACATTCAATCTTGTATATTGTAGACAATTTATAACTCTATAGTAATTTATGCTCTTGCTTTGTTAACATCATAAATACATGCTTGATTTTTATTTGGGAATTACTTATGTATGAAGGACTCAAAAACCAAAATATATTAATTTTTTAATTTTCATTTCATGCAGTATTCTGAGAGTTACAATAGTTAATTTCTTTAATACTTCTATATATTGCTGTTTACTTACATTCTTTTATTCAGATATGTTTGTGTAAATATATATATCATATCTCGCAATCTAAATAATAATCATATTCTTTAATCTTGATATTTGAACACTATATTGTTTGGTTTTTGAACCTTTCACACGTGCACGAACGTTTTAATATTATTAGTATCTAAAGTGTGCAATTTTTTTCAATTTATGTTGTAACATAGAATTATTCATAAAGATAACTTTCACTTTATTTACGTGATTTTAATGTGAGATTTATTTTTAAGAATTACGTTTGTGCAAATATATTGTTATCTCATTGGCGCATAACATATAAACTTTATATGGACTATGTCAAATGCAGTATGCACTATATTTTATTAGTAGATTATTAATTTATGTGGTTAAATCATTTTAAAAAGTTTTCGTTAATGTTTTAACCTACTAAAATTGATGGTAATGTGAAAAATTGAAATTGCATAGTATAGTTGTTACCATCTATTACATAATATAAATCTAGCCGATGACACAAATTGGAGTATTGTCGCTAGATACACTTAGTGTCCTTAGATAAATTTCTAATGATATAACCAGACACAACATAAATATTATTGAACAGACTGTGTTAGGAAGAATTTTAATCAAATATGTAGTATAAATTTTGCAACTTTCATGTTTCACATTTAGCATTGTTTAATATATGCATGAAATTTGCTGTATTGTAGATGATTTTTGTGTTCAATTTGTTAAAACTTATTCAGAAAGAGTCATTTTGTTGTTATGAAAGGTATAAAAATTCTATATGAATATAGATATAATGTATATGTAGAGTTAAGCAATGTTGCATTCGGACATATTCTTTTATTAATATATATGATGCTCAACATTTGAAATGTTCCAAACTTTTTAATTGTGTTCATGATATAAAAAAAAAAAAAAAAAGAAATATTATGCTCCATATAATAACATTTTCTAATAATAGAAAATGTTCAGAAACAATTTTTTTATAAGAAGTCTATATTTGAATAACATGTGATAAAACATGTAGTATTAATGTACATTTGCAGTCTTGACAAGAAAGAAATTACATACATTTTGGGCAAAAAAAATATATTCCCTTTTATATAAAAAATTCTTTTATATCTGTAACTTCTTAAGTATATGAGAGTTAGGCATTAACATTTACAAATGAATAGTGCTTTGGCATAAAAAAAAAAATTAAAAACCTTTATATCATTTTCAAAAAAAAAAAAACAAAAAAAATGCTTTACACAGTATTAAGAAAAAAATCTAAAATATCAATTTTCAATTTAAAATTTTTGTTTTTGTATAATTAATATATAGAAAAAAATTTAATATATCATTATTATATATTCTCTTATCAAGAATTATTAAGAGTGTACTTTACAATCGTGTCAAATAATGTATCCAAAAAAAAAAACAGATTTGATATTAGCATTAATGTTTGGATCATTTCGATTGTAGGGTAAGGCACTATATAAACATATGCATATATTCTATCACTGCTGTGTCATATGTTATAAAACTACTTTTTGCATAATTATGCAATGATAACTATAATCCTGTTCTACAACCATACTGATCTTCGCATTTTTTTCATAACTTCAAATATATATCTCTGTTCAATACTTTGTTTCGTGTTATCCAATAAAAACTATATTACACATTCAAGCAAAATACTTACAAATCATTGATTGTACAACCTTTTTACTTTTAGTATCATATAATCGAAATTTATAGAATTACTAATCAACTATAAATAAAATTTTTAAACATTTTAGAAAGATTCATATATCTGTACTAAAAAACAAATCATAACAAATAAAACCGTATTATTGATTGCAAATTACTTTTTATTCTTTTATATTTATATATATTAATATTTATTGTTTTTGGAGATACAATATAATCGAAACAATTTTTTTTATATTTCGTCTTTATTATATTTTGGCTTATGTATTTTATCATGTAATGCATTTTTTATAAATATTATAAGATTTTGAAGTTATATTTGCAAACATAAACATATTTGAAATAATTATTGTAATATTAACATTTTTATGATTAAAAATATTATGTACGAATTATAATAACACTTAATAAATATTTCTGCAAATCAAATTTCTTTAATTTTTATTTAATCATCATATTTCATTTTTTATTATAAATTTTGCGTATATTTTAAAATTTTGTATATAATAAAAACTTTTTAAATTTCAAAATTGTGTTGATTCCTACAATTTTCTACATGTATACAATAAATAATATAATATGGTAATATGTATTAATATCCAATAAGAAATACGATTCGAATTTCGCAAGTTATTCTATTGGTTACCCTTAAATATATGCATTAAGTACGATTTTCATTATCAGCAATTTATTTTGAATTTTCTTTTTTTCATTTAATAGTTCTTTCTTCCAATAAATTTATAACACATCATAAAACGTAAAAGTAATGGTTATAATATTATAAATATTTGTAACTCCATCTTAAAATTGATGATACTTTAACGAGTTAGATGTGTGGCAGACGACAGAGAATTTTGCAATCTGTCACTTCAAAGTTTATTGGAATAATATATTTCTTTAAATATTAGTAATTCTATAAAAACAATTCTCATCACGAAAATTGCTTTAGTAATTGATGATGTTATGAGGAAATATATTAGATTGAAACGTATGTAAACTATCCACATTTCTATTCGAATTGAACAACAGGGTTATGAGGCTCCAATTTCGAAGTCTCGTTATTCATAAATATTTTTTCAATATTTTTTGTATAATTTATATATTACATGATGGCTGAAAAATGTAAGGTAAGTATATGTTATATATATGTTAAATAAATAAATAATAATAAGTGAATATTATATATAATTAATAATTAATATCTTTTTGGAAATTAAATATAGTAAAATTTATAACATCTGTTATAAAATTATATATTCAGAAAAATAGAAATATTTCAATTAATTGAGTAATAATAAATGATACAAATTCATTTAGAAAGAAATAAATGTGTGTGTGTCTATTTTGATCTTTAATATCTTATATATATATATATATATTGTATCTATCATATATAAAAATTATTTTTAAACTAATTAAATTTTTAAATTTTCAGGAATGTGGCTGCAAATGTCTGGGCTGTAATCAAAATGATCAGCAACATGGAGAAATGCATTTGCATGTAGAAATAGAAAATTTACGTCAACGTTTATTAGAAAGAGATAATCATATTGTAACAATGGAGACACAGTTTTTAAATGAAGCTGACAAGTTCCCAAATGGAGAATTAGCCTCTATGAAGGAAGAACTTTTAATTTGGCAAGAAAAATATTCAAGATTATATGAGGCTCATAAACGTGTTCAGAAAGTAAATCAAAATCTTGAAGATAAATTATTGAGGATTGTAGATAAATGTGAAACAGAAAAAAGTGCATTTACTAAGGATATTGCAACTTTATCTCATAGATTAGCTGATGCAAATTATACTATACATCGTTTAACTCAAGATAATGTATTTATATTTCAAATATAAAATTTTGATAATTTAAAATTGAATTGTGAATAAAATTTTTATAAATAACATTTTATTTTAGGAAAAATATAGGAATGATGTAAACTTGGCAATACAACTTCTTCAATGTAAACCTTCTAATTTTGTTGGACAAAAATATGATTCTGTAAGTTACATTTTATAAACTTATAAATTAAAATATAAAGAAAATATATATAAAAATAAATTATTATTAATTTTAGTTACCTTCCGAAGTACAAGCCAAAGTTAGGACATATATTGCACAAAAGAAACATTCTAATGATACTACATCTCCTGATATAAAAAGTATCACAGTACCAATTTCAACATTTCCTCCAACAGCAATGGTATATAATGTAACTAAATCTGTTGAAAATAATAGTAATGATGAAACAGATGAATCTAAACCACCAGTGGATGTTGTCTCGGCAGCGATAATGGCGAAAGTTTTAGAAGATCGAGAAAAAGAAAGAGTATTTGGAAAGCATTGTGATACATGTACTTGCCATAGAAGTATTTTAATGGTCGATGCTGAAACTCAAACTAACATGCCAAATGTTTTTTCTTGTAATGAATGTACAACAATATATGCACAAAATGTAGAGAAACATTCTGATAATTTAAAAAATATTGATAAAAATTGTCAAAATAAAGGAAGTCAAAATTCATTGGTACATGTAATCTATCATGAGGGAAATGAAAGTGTTAGTAATAAAGTACAGTATCAGAATAATTGTACAAAGAATAGTAATCATCAACAATTATGCACAAAAGATAAATTTTTAAATAGAAATAGTAAAATTATAGACAGTTTAAAAGACGATAATCGTGTAAATGTTAATACAAAACTTAATTTTAATAAAAAAAATTCATTGCGTCATAATGATATCGTCAATACGTCACAACATCAAAATATATATCAAAATCAAAACGAAAATACGACTAAACAGGTAATATCTTATAAAATTAATGATACATGTGTTAATGGTAAAACAAATGTTGATAAAGGAAAACAAACGAAACTAAATAAAAAATGTGAATTACAAATTGATGGTAAATTTAATCCAAATTCTTGGAATAAATTGGATAAGAAATCTTCTAATTGTAGTCGTATAGTTCCTGAAAATTGTAAAAATTACTTTGATAGAAAAGAGCAGAGTCACATCGATATTATTAACGATAGATTATGGAAAAATGAATGGACGAGACTAAAATCACAGACTAACAAAGAAAGTAAAGATAAAGTTAACAGTGATATTGAGATTGATATAATTAATGATAGGATTTGGAAAAATGATAGATCAACTCAAGAAACACAACAACATGCAACGCAATTAACTTTAATAGAAGTTAAGAATATTGATAATGTTGCACATCAAAATGATTCTGGACAAATAGAAGTGGCCACTAGTCCAACTTTTAGTAGCGATAGTATTGTAATTTCAACTTCCGATCCTTCCAGTAGTTCTAGTGATGTCGTTCAATTAACTGGAATGCGTGTGCATAATGCATTAGGTAATTTGAAACCTAATACGCAAAATAGAATAACTGGTCCAAGGAATTGTCTCGTTAGAGTAACACCTGGATCGAAGAATATTCTTTTAGATAATGCTGGTCATTATAAAACTGTGTTATATACTAGTGGAAATAATAAACCAAATACCGCTTTAGTTCATTCGAAAAAAATGTCTCGATCTGGATCTGAAAGATCAATTTCAACTAGTAGCGAAGAAAGCACACCGATGTTGTTACATGACAATAACCAATTACAAAGAGTAGCCGAATGGGTTCAATCATCGGTTCACATGGATAATTCTGGATCAAATTACACGGAATTAAAGCCAAATGAAAACATAATAGATAATAAAAGTCTTTCTTTAACATATTTAGACGAGTCCCAAACAAATTGCAAATCAATTGAAAATAATCGAGAATCATATGATAATTCTTCAGAAAATAAATGCAACAGTTTGATAATGGATATTCAAGAATTTGGAATCAGAAATTTAAATAATGCTGTAAATAATTTTTCATTGGATGTAAATAATACTGATTTAGAAAAAGAGAAAGATTTAATATCTTTCGATATTCCAATTGAAGAAGAGAAAGTTTTGCCTAAAACATTAAAAAAAGGAGTCACTGCAGATTTTGATTACGAAGTCAAGATTACTAAAGAAATGGAAGAAACTTATTTAAAACTTGCAGCAAGTTTAGATCCTGTGGCATTAAGCTTATCGAGCACGGATAACGTGGATTTAACGATTGAAAAGTATAGGAAAGATCACAAGAGATTTCAAAAGAATCATGATAAAACGGGATCAAAAATGTAAAGTATACCAGCAAATATTTCAAAAAAATTATTACTATTTCAGCAGGGAGTTCCTTTAAAAATAAAACAGAGCATTATTTTTTGTAACTACGTGAAACTAAGGCTGTACCAAGAACAGTAGCGTAGAGTAAAACATTCTATATTCACACATACACTATATTGCAGTTGTAGAATCATATTTATTTAATTTGTATAGCTAATAATAATAATATCGTAATATTTTTGTTTTGTGAATAAAAATTGAATTTCATAGCAATTATGCAATATTGCTAGATAGAATATTATTTATTATATTATATAACTACTTTAGTAAATTCTATTATAATTAATGTGCATAATTTAATTCCAACTAACTAAAAATCGATTATATTTTTTATTCAATTCTTTTTTTATTTAAAGGATATCGAAATATTTTACGAAGAATGTAATGTCTTATTTTTCTTCTTTCTTCTGTACGGTTTTGTACAGATCAATTGAAATGAAATATGGTTCGATTAAATTAGATGTCCAAACTTTTATTCTTGTTACTGCGATACTGCGATTAAATATTATAGGATAAATTGCGTTCGGGTGTATTAAAACGAGACAATATTAAACAAAAAATTCATTGTCAAATTGTCGAAATTTTACACTCATAGTGTAATACATTAGCGCGTGCTATTTCCAATCATTAGAATCACAGAACGCGAATATTTCGCGTTGTAAAATGAAATCTTTTAAAATTCATTCAATAGAAGAGGAACACCGAAACGAACGACGATAGTATTTTAACGTATAAACGAAATTTTATTATCGTAAACGGGTAAACGATAAAACGATGTTACATTTTCCTTGTATGCATGTGCAAGTATGGCAGAATACAGTAATGACAATATCAAGATTGTTATAATTATTATAAAATGTATCCGTGAGATTTTTCATTAATTTCGTACTCACGCCAAAATAAATATCGTTATAAAAATCAAAGGAGAAACGTTTTATGTAATAAAAATTTGTTTCGCGCAAAGATCATTGTCTGTGTTAAAGAATAATTATAGTACCAAAGTTAATACATTTGATATTTCTTTAATGTCTCGCTTGACTTAATGTATCATAGTATAATTATTCACTTTATTTTGCATGTTTTATTACGAGTTTATTTTAAAAAATGCTTAAAATCCCTGCGACAAAGATGAAAGTTATAATATTCCAGGCGCATAATTAAAGTAAACTCGATCATTACCTGATTTCAATTGTAATCCAAACTCGCTGTGCTTCGATCGAATTGAAATCGATCTTTTAAAAAAAGAAAAAGAAAAAAAAAAAAAAAAAAAAAATAAAAAAATACTGATAAAGAGAAAAAAAAATATAAACTTTTACTCATTCTTCGAGTATTTTAGCGTTATTTTATGGCAATAAAAAGAATTACTTCAATATTATTCCTTATATTGTACTTTTACAAATAATTACAGATAAACAATAAATTGATCAGTATCGCAAATATAACTTAAGAGAAAAATAAATAAATAAAATAAAATTAATTGATAATTATTGTCTTACGGAGAAACATTTAACGATCACTATAATAATTATATTCGTTAATGATTTTTCTCGGTGAAAGATTAAATAAAATTGCCGATATTTATAATTCAACGTATCCACGACGTTTCAAAAATAAGATATTATTGCGTTTCATGATAAACATAAGTGCATATTACGAGCAAACGCAAAAATTAATGTTTCTGCCTGTTTTTTCCATTTATGCAATAATGTATTCTGCGTGGAACAGAGAGTTGCAATGTAATAATCGAGAATGTGCATTCAGGAAATGAATTAAAGATGACCATCTATCGTGGACATCGCATTAAAGTTGCAAATTTATGCGGAAAATTAAAAAAAAAAAAATATATATATACGAGCATTACCGTATTACAGCAAGAGAAAAAGTAAACTTTTCGCGTTCAAGGCGAACGTCGAAACGATTGCGTATTTTTAGGCTGTTCACTTATGCGTAAACTCCAGAAGCGATGAATTTCGTACCGAAACTTCGCATATTTCGCGAAACCGATTGATTTTCATTGTGACTCGTTAAGCGCAACGCGTTTTGAGTTAACGACCATTAATTAAGGAGGGTGCATGAGTCACCGGTATATCGGTGCTCGAGTTCTGAATATACAAAGACCAAATGAAAATATCGATTGAGAACAAGTCGCCAAATATATTTCCGTCGGTTTCAATATTCTCTCAGGTGAACCAACATCTCTTCAAGATATCACCTTAGAAAATTAGAAGGATTAATTATTTGGATTGGATCATTGAAATATTGGAAAAAAGAAGTGATGCTTTAAAAATTTATTTAAACTCATAATGATCGAGAAATCGAATGAGATGTCTGGTTTGAATTTAAATTAAAATTATAATTAAAATTTTTTTCTTTTTTTTTTTTTTCCTTCTGAATTCTGAGAATTTTGAAGATATCAATATCTCGTATGGCAAATAAAATTCATGTTCATCCAAATTAATATTTTTATCCACATTTATTAAAAGTTGATAAATTAAATATTGTAAAAAAATGAAAAAAAAAGAAGTAAGAAATCGTGTAATATATATTAGCGCAAGAATTAGAATCAAGTAAATAAAGATATACGAGGATTTATCGAGTCATACGTTCAAGATTGCACCGTATTTTACGGTTTTACATTCATAAGCGCGTATGTTTCGCTTTGATTCATTTTACGAATAACACAATATTGTGAAATGCGTATTGTATCGATAGGAAAACAATTAGAAGAACAATGAGATATCTTTGATTTTTTTTTTTTTTTTTAATTAGCTTATTATACATTCTTTAGACTCGGAATAAAGAGGAATAGCGAGGAGGGCTTAGCGTCGAAAGATCAAACGATCTTTCATTCGCAGATCTATGAATTTGAATACAAAGATACTGTAAATGCATTGAGGTGTATCGTTGCGGCTGAGTTTTCATTGAAACGGACTGATCGCTTTGAATTACATCCTGTAGTAAACAGTTACCCATTAACTCGAAATCAGATGTACCATGTGCAACGTGGCGACGATAATAATGTAAACTGTACATATACAGTGAAATAAAATGTATTTAAAGAAGCGAATGTTATTTCACCATGAACATCATTTTTATTTATAATTTTATTTATATAAAAAAAAAAAAAATTTACTTTATCGATCTATCTGTACTGTGCAGATCAAATTTCTAGATTAGAGATTAAAATTAATCTTTTATCACGTTTTAATTTATTGCGATAATTCTGACGGATAAATACACCAAGGTTTCTCGCAGCTGAATGGATTTGATAAATCTGATCTCGATGTAAATTTTTGCGGCGTTTAATTTGGCGCAACCGTTTCAACCGCCGCGGAAAACACATGCAGAAAATCGATCGTACGATCGGGCCGAGCCCAGCTCGTTTCAATCAAGCTAATGTTCCAATAATTTGGATCCTAAGCAGACCTAGCTCAACCGTACGAATGAATGAACGGCCTCGCCTGCACTATTATACAATACTCTAACACGCGTGTCCGAACCGATATTATTTGATTATCCACAAGTGTTGTAACACTTTTCGCGGAGTACACGAGTGCGTAGATAAACGGGAGAGCGCACTTTTGTTCGACGATCGATATTGCATAAGAAAATTAAGAACGAACGATTCCATTCTTATTTTTCTTTCGAGCTTATATAATTCGAATTAATAATTAGAAAACACGATATATAAGAACAAATTTTTTCCTCGAAGAAAAGAATATTCCTCAAACGAGAGAAACATTTTTTACATTTAAGAAACTATTCGATCGAACGGAAGAAGAACACGAGACTAAAAGTACCATCACTTTAAAATATCTGCACATCGTTGATATCCAACCAAGATTTTTTTAAAGAGAACATATCCAGATATATTATCTCGTGAAATTTAAACAGATTTTCAAAGGATTCCCTATCGTATTTAATCTTTTTTTCTTAAAATAAGAATTAACTCTCACCTTGCTATCCGTTAGATAAATCTCGGATGCTCAAGTTATCCGACAACCACCAAGTTTCCTCGATGGCTGGTCATCGCGCCAGCGCCTCCCGAGTGACCAGCACGTACCCTCCGCTTTCTCGACGAACCGCCAATCCGTCCAACCCCGCGGCAGTAAGGACGCGTTCGTGCTCACGCGAAGACGCGGACCGACGCCGCGGCACGTCGATGCCGATTACCGACGCTTCCCCGAGCCTTGCACCCTCGTAAATGCACCCTCCTGCCAGGCGACTCCGCCTCGCTGTCCACCTGGTAGCCAGGTAAGCCAGCCAGGTTTCTCCTTCGCGATACTACAGGCCTGTGCTCCGCTCGCGTGACACGGTTGATGGTCTGATTTGAGAGGCCGGTTCGAGGATCGAGAGTCGGATCGAGTTGGGTGGAATCGTTTTTTTCGTCGAACAAGTGGAATGTTAGGGAGTTTGGAAACGTTGCCCGAGTTGTGGAGTGCGGACAAGAGGGAATGTTGTGAGGGGATCGAGGGAAGTGGGAGATGTTCGAAAGTGTTTGAAGGAGTTGGTCGAAGATGGAGGATGATCTCCTTGCGAGGATAATACTTGCGAGGTGATACTTTTTTTTTTTCTTTTTTTTGGACGATGATCGTTTTTGGAAGTTTCATCTCGGGAATCATCGTCGGAGGGAATGTTGTGAGGGGATCGGGAGGGAAGATGTTCGAAAGTGTTTGAAGGAGTCGATCGAAGATGGAGGATGATCTCCTTGCGTGGATAAGGAATGTGATACTTTTTTTTTCTTTTTTTTGGACGATGATGATTTTTGGAAGTTTCATTTCGAATTTGATGATCGGTCAGGACATTTTTTGAATGTAATTATTTTGAATAACCGTCAGTGTCGGTGGCGTTTTCGTCACCGAGCGTGATCGCTCTCGTGACTGGTGCACGAGGTCGTACTTGAAATTTCATGGGTCATATCTTTTTTGGTCTTGGCCGGATAATATCTACTACGGAATCGACGCGATTATTATAACGGCCACCTTGACTTACGTTGATCGTTTGGAATCGAGGTTCTTCATTCAAGGTGGTTGTTTGTTTCCTCATGGATATTTAGATGCGTCCTTCATTTGATTCTATCTCAATTTCAATTTCAATTCAGATTTTATAAGACACGAGTTACCGACGAGTTGATCCCTTCTTTTAAAAAAAGAAAAACTCACGCATCTCCCTCTTTGCGAATGGATTCGTATCAGATCGATAAAAGTCCGACTATTCCACTTAGTTAGTCAAAAGGAAAAATCTTGCGGAATTTCCTCCCTCCTTGACCGAACGACACGGTCTCTCTACTTTCCAACGATTATCTATTCAACGTTAGACACACCATCGAAGACTTTGCTACTATTCGTTGAATTGAAAATGTTACATAAGAATCATTTTGCTTCTGAATAGCGATCGATAAAATCCATCAAGATACAGGCACGATCTTAAGCACTCATATTTTTCCACGTTTTGGTGGTGAAACGTGCTTTTTGGCACCAAGGAAACGATGATCACTTTATTTAACATATTGCCTTTTGTCGTGTCCGCGACATTGTACGATTAATATGCATGTACACGCTTATATTTATACTTATGATCGATGACAATTGTCAAGGAACACAAGGAGACTAAGAATGGACTGGTGAAAGAGAGAGACCAGTTTGAATTAAAGCAACGACGCACGTGAGAAATTTCGAATCGAACGGAAACGAAACGTGTATATATATATATATAAAAACATGTGTTTCCGTTTCTAAATGTTTCCAAGGAAAAAAGAAAAGAAAGAAAAGAAAAATAGAATCAGAAATTAAAATAATACATGTGGGTACTGTAACTACGTCAACATTTTCGAATTAATTGGAATCGCGTCACGAAATAATAACATAGGGGCGACGAAAGATTTTATTCACTGTTTTATGGCACGGCGAAGTAATTATGAAACGACACATCAAAATGTAATTTCGTTTCGCGTGAAAATTTTTCGCGGTACTCCCCCGGCCGCAATTTCCATTGACTATCAATTACGCATACATTCGTGCTTGAAATTTAACCGCGAGATAAAAAACTTCCACTCTTTTTTTTTTTAACCCATTTTTTTTCGTTTTGCAGTCTATCAATGGAAAATTGCATGGCCCGTATCCTGCTTAAAATTCAACCTCGATTCGTTCATCTCTCTGAATCCGTAAACGTAACATCTACGTATTTTTCACCGTTCCACGTACTTTTTCTTTTTTTTTTTTTTTCAACGAGAACGAGTTATTAAATGAAAAATATACACGAAGAAGAGCATATTAACATACTGTTTATTCGACGAATTTTTTCTCATTTCCATTTCTATTTAAATTATTCATTCTTTTTTTTTTTTTTTTCTTCTTCTACCAGAAAAATTTTAAAGAGAAATATTCCAAAATTTCGTTATCTCTCTCTTTTCTTCTTTTTCTTTCTTTTAACATGCAATATTTTTTTTTAGGGGGAAAGAATCTTGCCGCAACGCGCAACGGACGCAACAACGATGCGTCCATGCAAACAATTGCACAGGGAGAACGAAACCTCGAAACCGCTGTCCGTACTCGCGTAGCAATTAATTCACCGGTCTTTGCTCGACTGCTCTGTGAAATAATCGGCTGTTACATGATCGTTACGCCGCTCGGAACTTCCTTGGCCGGCGGAATACACAGATACACAATGTACACGTTGTGCACAAGAGTACACACATGTTACGAAGGGGGGGAGGGGTCGTTGATCCCGACCCCCGAGAGTTGCAACCCGACCATTCCAACTATTCTCGTTAACGGTACGTTGATTTTGACCATTTTTCCCCCCCTCCCTCCCTTCCTATTTCCGTCGATAACGTATATCGTGGTCGATAAACGACACGTAGATCGCGATCTCGGCGCAAAAGAAGAAACGAGCTCGGCGGAAAAGAGGCTTAATTCTTAACGGATCGCGCAACGGACGCTTAATTAAAAATGATGTACGTCGCTTTGCCGCGCCGTTAAATCGTTATTTATAACGTCGATCGTGGGATATGTTTCGCCCGGGCCTCGTTAAACGAGCCTCATTAGGCCGCCGAGCGTTAAGTTGCCGCGAAATTGAGGCGAATCCGAGCGGAGAGGCGAGTCGAGGTCTGTTGCAGATTAGAATTGATTAATCGGTGACAAACTCGGTGGCTCGGTTTTGGTTCTTTTTTTTTTTTTTTTTTGCTTCTGGGGGGGCAGGGGCTTCGAGGGCTCGCGCAATTGAAAGATTAATCGCACTCGAAATCGACGAAGTTTGAAAGTTTGAAGAAAATGTTGAGTGTTTTGAAAGAAAACACAAAGTTGGGAATAATAATTGTTTATTCCGTTGTTCTTCGTTGGTGATCGTTAATTTTTATCATTTTCGATTATCTCTCTTTTCGTTTTCTTTAATTGTTTACGATTTAATAATTGGCGTAAATATTTTTGAACTATAGAGAATATATATATAGTTTAAACGATATCCAATTTCTGAAGCTTTCACCATATTTTCGATTGCAATTAGATAGAGTGCATACAAACGCAGCTGGAAAATGCAGTCGATCATGTCACGCGCCTCTGTATTCATATCTCACGTTGTAGTATAATTTTCGCGGTGTCAAGGCCATTAATGAATCTTCCTGAACGATTTTCAGAATTGTATTCGCGGTGTGGTATGCCACCAGTATTCGTAGAAATTATGACGTGATTGTATTATCAGACGCGGTTCAGTGATCAACAAATTTCTATCCAATCCGACGAGATGATAAATCTATTGGGAAATGAATCATTTGTAAAATCGTTCTTCTGAACAAATAATTTTTAAGCTTAATTTATAAAACGGTTCTTATAGATATTATTTTCTCAAATATGAAACAAATACGAACCGTTTCCCAGAGTTTTTACGTCCCAGTTCGAGCGTCTAGATCCTTTCAACGGATTCCCTATTAACAATTTAAGCAACTTAATTACCGGAAACTATCTCATCAACTGTTCCTCGAGCAGTCGGAGCCGTGCTTTATTTCGACACATTATTTCATTCAAGAACAATTCACTTCTTTCTTCTGACGTTTGTCTAACATTTGCATCGAATACGATTCCTTTCTTTTTTTTTTTTCTCAATTTTTTTTTCCCCTGTTTACGACATTCAAGATGAAAAAAAAAAAAAGAAAAAAGAAAAAATTGAAATTCCTTTCAAAAAGAAAAATTTTCACGTACTATCATTCGTTCGTCACTTTTTTTTTTCTTTCACATTGTTGAAATAGAAATTGAACGGAACGAATTCTGCTTATTCAACGTTCGAATAGACAACACGTGATTATCTTTTAATATCTTTCAAGAAACAAGAAGAAACTGAAATTTTCTTTCCACGAGAAAAAGGATGTGCTATAATCTCCACCATCTCTTCTCACATCGATGGACGTTGAAACAGAAACAGTTGGTTGGAGATAGCCCCTGTGATTCACGGGTGACGTATTTCTAGAAAGCGTGCACTAATTGTCGGGAAACGTTACACGTACGCGGGATACGGCAACTCTCAGATTCTCCTTCTCGTTGGCCTGCCCATTAATTTGAAACAGGCGGCCACTGTAAATCAACGAGTCTCGGGGTACGGAGCCATCACTGCGAATCATCACATTTCGGCCACGAGGTCGATTCCCGCTCGATTCTTCATGCCGTGCAGTGTGCTGTGATTCGAGGAATGTCATTGGACACGATGCAGATTCTTCGAGGACCACCAGCATGGAGCGCTTCGACGCGTTGCATCGGTTTCCTCTCCTCCGGATGGTTTCTGGATCGTCCATTCTTCTGTGATTATCGATTATTTTCAATAATTCTCTTTGTGAATGAGTTATTAATGATAATCCAGTAATCGTAATTGTGTAGAGTATCATAATGTGGAGTTGTGCCACGAGTCGATTTAAGAAAATTTTAAGAGGATTATTAAGGAAGGAAGTTTAGAGAAGATGTTATTTTGGACTTTTGAACGAGTTGAAAATGTGTGATAAAGAATTTCGTGTAAGGGATTGTATGGGATCGATGGTTGAATGAAAAAATGGTGAAGAAAGGGATTCGAACGTCTTACGATAAAACAATTTGAGTAAGTGAATTTTTAGTACGCACGTAAGATGTAAAAAAAGTCATTAGGTTTTTCTTTTTCCAGAGCCAGAGAATGTATAAGTTATTTGATCGATGCAATTATTCGTAAAAGAACGAATAAAAGAAACGTAACGGGAATGAAAGCGTACGAAAAGATTTATCATGATAAAACAACCGCGATGACCGCTTCTTACGATTCCATTTACGATCCATTTTTTAAATCATTTCATTTCACGATTATTTATTATATAAAAATTTAACACGTTCGAACTACAAAATCCCTCTTCCATGACGTGAATATCAACGAAAATTTCCATCAGAAAGAAGATTTTGTAAAAATTTTTTGATTCACTCGACTTCCAAGTAGAAATATAAAAAATGCATCGACGAAAAATTCGTTGACCTATATATAGAATAAATCTTGCAATAAAAAAATAAGAAGAGGAAAGAAATTGCTCGAAATCCACTTTCTCGACAAGAATCCTTCATCATCGCAACGATTCATCATCCGGTGCCGTCATCGATCTTCTTTTTCTCGTTCGACCATTAATGCGAAACACGGAAAAAGAACGGAGAGAACACGCACGCGCGCGCGAAAAAAAAAAAAGAAAGAAAGACTAGAATACAGGAAGGAATACGAAAAATGTAGTTCAAACAACGTTACGGTATAATTGTAATAAGCATTCGCGTATCCAACCATTCCCGCGTATGAGAGCGTGAATAAAATGCGTAGAGGTTTTATGTTCGTTCAATGAGGCTCGTTACAACTAGAGTGAGTAATTGCAATCGTTGATGGAATGATCATTGATCACGGATGTTGCACGAGCCAATCGTCAAACTCGAATCCGATCTTCGAGGGGATCTTCGAAGAAAGAAGGAAGAATGTAAAAAAACGTGATACAAGTTTTTTAAAACAACTGTTACAGTTTATTAGAAACGAACGGACGGGTAGAATATTTCAAAGAAGGCTGATTCCTCGAACTTCCGAGAGACGAGTTTTTTATTCTCGCGCAACCTCGTGGTGGAGAACGAGGAGGATGCGGGAGTGTTGATAACGTCGAATCCGAAAAAAAAAAAACGAGACCAATTCGATTATGACGAGGGCTCGATAAAAATAAAAAAAACGAGCTTTTATCGAGAGTTTTTTAATAGTCAGTGAGTTCTTTTAAGGGGCGAGCGAAATTATTTACAATATTTTGAATATTTTCCACGAGGATAGTTTTTGAAATAATTAGAGTGAAGATTTTATATTTTCGGACATATTTTTCAGCTGTGATTTTTCTGTGTTTCAGGTGAGAGCGACAACGGATTTTGGCGCCCTCCGCATTTTGGTCGTCTGCATGAAGGACTCGAGGTACTTTCCTTACTTAGTTGGATAACTAAGTTTAATTCCCCATTATTGCTCGAGTATCTGTTTAAGGAGGTTCTCGTTTCGAGCATTAGAAGTGTTATTATGTCAAGCAGCGGTTGTTAAAAGTGTCCCCAGTTGTTATTAACGTGCTCAGCGTCGCGTGGAACTTTTCTCGGAAAGAGATGTGTTTATCAAAGCAGAAGGGACTAGAAAGTTTCGGGTTGCGTCAGTTTGTCGACGATAGTGGTATCAAACGGCAAATATTATTACGAGGAGCTAGAATTATAAAGCGGAGAATGGAAACAACTTTGGTGTACGTTGGTCCGTTTTATTCGTGCGCTGAATCATATTCGAGCAATTCGTGTTTGCACAACGTTGACGTTTTAGAATTAAGAAAGATAAGGAATATACAGAAATTAGAGACTTGGTTCAATACAGTTACAATGTTGAAGAAACTTTAATCAAATTTTGTTTGAGAAGAAACTTGAATTCGTATTCCAATCAATTCAACAAACAGAACAATCTTCAACTATTTATAAATTTCTCTTATCGATGCATCTTGCTCTTTTTATAAATCTTCGTGATATCAACACGTTTTCAACTTGTTTCCTCGATACATACGAAAACCTTAAAGTCTAAACATAGCTATGCTTTCCTCCGAGCAAAAATATTCAAGCATACAGCCACGATGAAAGATAGATACACTTTTCCTTTTTACTTAACTTATTTAATAGCGAGTCTTTATAACTTGCAAGAAAGATATAAAAGCGGAGAAATTTACTTCGACAACTGCTTATAATAATAAAATATAATAATCGATAATTGTGATATCAAAAATGATCGAGATTGTGATGGAAAGATCAACTATGACAAGCTATGACGAATAAGTAACTTTACTTTTCAGAAATTTTTAACTTTCAATTTCACTTTTCCAACTCTGATTAGATTTTCGGGTTACAGCTTCGGGGCCTCGAAAGGATGAGGCGACTCGAGGACGGCCATGCTCAACGACCGCCTCCGTTCAGGGTGCTCGCGGCACCCGATTACCTGTCGCCCACCGCGATACCGCCACCCCCGCCGCGTGCACCCGAGCCCTACAAGATCGCGCCCTCCTCCACGTCTTCCTCGAGGGCCCACAGGCGGTCCAGCTTCGTGATCATCGCGGACTCGAGGCCTGGTTCGCCCGAGACGAGGACTCCATCGCCGACCTTGGCCACCGGTAGAGTCTCCCCTTTTCGAGGACGCGGCTTCAAGGGACCACCTCCTCGCTCCAGATCCAGGCCGCAGTCCCCTGAAATCGCGGACGGTCGTAGGAGGGGAAGAAACGAACGACGAGGTAAGATTTGTTGGTGCAGATTTTTCAAGAGGAGAAAGGAATTTTTCAAGCATATCTTTGCAATAGCCAAATAATTTATATACGAAGATATAATGTATGGACATTCGTGTTATTTATTACGCATTATTATTGTTTATTCACGATCGATAGGGATATACAGAGATTGTTGTCAACTTTCTCCTCGAAATGATGGGAAAACAATAGAAGAGGGAATAATTTATGTACATCTATGTAAAGTAAAATATTTTATTCCTTACGAATGTGTTGTATAAGATTGAAAATTCTTTAACGAATTTACAATTTGTGTATTAATCAATTTATCACACGAGAATTATTCTCGTCGCACGAAACATTTTCACCGATGAATCGCTATACGATAATCGTCACGTGTTGTTGTTACTCTCGCCAGTTTCAGTGTCGCAACAGAGCAGCCCAAGAAGAAGCCTGATCCCGCAACCGACTCGTCAGCGTTCGACGTCGCTAAGCAAATCGACGGAGCGGCTCTCCTCGCCGAAGTTGGGCCGGCGCGCGGATTCGCGGGGCCGTTTGACGGATTCCAGGAATCGTTTGAACGCCTCCGGAAACAGCAACAGCGTGGCGAGCCTGGCCTCCCGTCGACAAGCCACGAGGACGCCCAGCAAGCTCTCCCCGATCCAAGGGACCCCGACGAAACCGGAGAGGACCTCAACGCAGTTCGGGGCGAAACGGGATCGGGATCGATCCGGAGGGAAGGAATCCACGCCGGCCAGGCAACAGAAATTTGCCGTTTCTCCGTCGAGGAACAATGCGTGGAACGCGAAGAAACAGAGCCAAGAGAGGGTAGCCGTTTCGGGGAAAGCGGGGGGGAGCAAGGAACGAGTCACGTCTCCGTCGAAAATTCCGCTCAAGACCAATCGGGTCGGCACGAATTCCTTGAATCCGTCCAGGTTCATCACCATCTCTAATCAGCCCAAGAGCAGAAAGGCGGTCGATAAAGGGGGATCGAAGGGGGTTAGCGACGAACGCGTGAACGAGTCCGGTCAGGATGGTGGGGAAGGATGTGAAACGGGATGGAAAGAGTCTCGAGCGAGCGAGAAAAGTTCGAGCGTCGAGCGCTTGATCCCCGATCTGCATTTGATCGATCTGTTGAAACAGACTTCCACCGCTACAGGGACGTCGAGCGTGGTGAACACGACTGCTACCACGGCCGTCCAACCTCTTCACATCGACGCGAACGCGATTCTCCTCGATGGTAAAGACAGCTTGGAAAAGAAAAATGTAGCCGAAGAGAGGTCGAAGAGCCAGCAAAACAGCCTTTCCAACGACAACAAATCTTCCAGCTCGCCGAATGCTGTCGACGATTCCTCCGCTAAACAGATCCAAAGTTCACAACTCGTCGGTAGTGGGGAGGATCATCACCGTCAGACGAATTCTCAGATCTCGAGATCCAACAAGTCTAACGGTAATTACAATCGTACGAAGGGTGGTATGGAGAGTAGAAACGATTCTCCGATTCCCAATGACGTAGTCAACAATCACTCGAAGAGCAACGGTACGGGGCAATCGGCGAAGAGCGTGGGCAAGGGTAACGGCGCGGTGACGAGCAAAGCTGATTCGGCGACTCGACGCTCGAACAATAAGATCCAGATGAACAACGCGATCAACGATCCGAACGGGAAGAACTCGAGGCCTAACGACGCCAAGATCGAGGAATCTGTCACGTTTCAACCCGTATCGAACTCGGCCAAGGCGAACGAGGTCGAGTCGTCGAAAGATTCGACGAGAAATTCTTCGAGCACGGAGAGGGGAAGCACGGTGGTTTCCGTGAACAGTGGTTCGGTGAAGCAGGAGGAAGCGAGGACGATTTCGAGGTCGACGAATAATTCCGGAACGAGGGTCGTGGCGAACGCGGGCACGGTAATCGTGAAAAGTACTTCCGTATCCGACCGATCCACCATATCCTCGAAGGCGAACAACAACGCGTTGGTGAGCAACGACGCGAAAAAAGTGAAGAGCGGAACGGGGGCGAAGGTCGGGAACGAGGGAAGTGGTACGTCGTTGAAGTCGTCCGGGGGGGTGTCGATCGATTCGATCGAGAGCGTGCGATCCACGGACACCGGGGTGAGCGTGGACACGGTGAGGGGGGTGTCCTCGCCAAGGGAGAAAACGGGGATGCACGTGGTGAAACGGCCGCAGGAGATCGAGACGTTGAGCGGGAACGTGGTGCACCTGGAACAAAACGGCGAACCAGCGTGAGTACGATTTATATTTCATCCCTTCTCCTCCGCGATTTCTCTTCCTTGAAAAATTTCCGTGTCTTCGAATAGGTGGATCAAATTTCGTACGCGTCTTATCTTCGAAAGAGAAAAGTATATAGAGAATTTACGGATTTGTGTTACCTTTGAAAAAAGAAATTAGTTGGTTCGTGATATTCGTAATATCGATTGGCCGCGAGTGCTCGAGAACTCGATGCCACTCTCTTCACCGCAAAATTTCGATTTTCGACCGTAATTCCGTGATCTCACGGAATCGTATTTTATATCGGGACCGGGAGAGATATTAATCTGGAAAGATCCACGAGGTGGTCGGTGACTATTTATGCCGTCGGAAGTGACGATAAATCGTCGGTCGATCCGATGCGAATCCCGTATTAAAGGACACTTGGGTACTTGGGTGTACGTTGTGTACGTTGTTTGCGCGTGTTGGGCAAAGCAGAAAGTGCGGACGCGACGGATCGGAAAATCGAGTTATTAGTTCGAGGGTTGCCGCGACACGAAAGCCGAGCATCATTCTCAATTAAAACGAATCAACCGTTCCGTGATGAGAGCCGCGTAATAACGAGTAAAAAAGAATCGCTTCCGGTTCTCGAGAGTTACCTAAAATGCCTTCGTTCGTTCGTTCGTTCGTTCGTTTGTTGAATTTCATTTACCCTCGCGAGACCCATTTCTTTTCTCCACGACACGAAATTATTGCCCGAGAGCGAGAACGCTCATTATCAATTTCCATCCGTGCCCGTATAATGAACGATGAATGAACGAAGATTAATCCGTAAATATCATAGCGTTTATGAAGCGGCCCCGCTTCATTAAGACCGTGTAATCGCCAGTAAGAATCACGAAACGCTCTGGTTTATTACCGAGTTATTTATCGTTACTTCTTCCACTACGTGGTTACCCTTACAATCCGTCCCTGGATAATCGCATTTTACTAAGCAAGAATTAATTGTGCGCTATATAAATACCGAATGTAGGTTAGTGGTAAACGGTTGGAAGAAGGATCGAGTGTTTTTCCTTTGTTTGGTTAATTTTAATTTTTACTCTTGAATACAAATTAATTTTGAAACAATCCTAATTGGGATGGGTCTATCTATTCAATGATATTTAAATTTATCATTTTTTTTTTCTAATTCGTATACAATATTGATAATAATGTATTGTTAACCGTACGTAAAATTAATAGATTGTTTAATCGGGGAGAAATAATTTTTTATTTTTCAACGAATTTCCAAAAATAAAACGAAATTTGATCAAAGAAATGTAAGAAGGGATAAAAGAAAGAAAAGAAAAAGGATCGTGAGGGAAGTTAGAACGGTTGCTATTAAATTGTTTTACAACTTGTACTCGCCGGGGCGGGCATCATAGACAATGTGGGGGAAAACTTGGCCCATCGTAAGATCCACAGAGTTCCTTCACCCCGGCTAGTTATAAAGCACCACCCTTTCCAGTGGTCGATGCAACCAAGCTGGGTTTATCGATCCCGCGGAGATTTACATCGCCACGGCCTGGCTCAAGGGGATTATAAATCAGAATTTCGAATCGCCTCGTTATACGAACGTCGCTAATTAACTTGAATTGGTAGCTGAAGGAAGAATGAAGGAGAGAAGGAAAAAAAAAGAAAAGAGAATGTTGAAGACACGAGACCGTTAGACCGTGTCCATCATTCACGCCTCCGAACTGTAATTTTTTTTTTTTTTTTTAATTTTTTTTCTCTTTTGACAAACTGTATTTTTTTTCGTATTCCATATTTCGTTTTTTTTTTCATTGAAATTCGTTGAAAAATTGAATAGATGTAAGAAAAAATCGGAAATTTAAAAAATTGACCGCTTCGACGATACTTTTTTTTTTTTTTTTTTACATTTCAAAAGCTTTTTAAAAAGGAATAATTATATCATCCTTCTGAAGAGGGATTCGAAAATTCGAAATTTCATAGGTTTATTATATAGAGATTTTTTTTCGAGGCTCGAGTCAAACTGCAGTTAAAACGTGATAAAATTGTATACATAATTCGCAGTGGTAAGGAGTGTGCAGTGTTTTAAATCGATTTTACGATATATACGAGTGAACCATTTAAATCGTACGTTGCATTTCTATTTATAGAGCATTAAAAATTTATCAATAATGATAATGATAGATCGATAAAATTGTAATTGTAATACGTCCCCTATTGTGGTTAATTGAACTAATATTATAGTTAGCGTTATATTTTTCAAATCGTTTCGAAAACGATGATCGTGTGTCGCGTTATTTTGCTATATCGATAGAGGTGACTCGTTCTTAACTCGTAATTATAACGAGATTAAATTCTTTTTACGCGACAGAGACCCCACACGCAGACCCCATAATCGTACAGCGAGATTTTATTACAACCGGCCATGTTAAAAGTGACTCACAGGGAACCGCAATAGCGTGACGATGCTGCGTATAATCAGCGTACGAATACTGAAACGTCTTTACAAATATGACCGTACTCGAGGTAGGTAGGACTCTCTCATGAAAATGTTCCATCCAACGTGGAACGAATATTCATTGAATAATTCATCGCATCTCGTCCGCATCGTGTACTTTTATTCATTGAATATAATCTCTGAGAATTAAATTGGATTATTTTCAAATTACCACCCCATTGTGACGAGTTATTCATATATATATATTTAAGTTTTTCGTTCTTTCTCGATAAGAAGCAATTGAAAATTGCGTATACAATACGGAATTAACTTTTTTTTTTTTTTAATATCTCGGTAAATATAAAATGGGCACTTCGTATTTATGGAGACATTACGAATGCAGAAACAATTACCTCTCCGTATAATAGAAAGTTCTAGGTGAAATTTAGCGTGAAATATAGTTGGTAGTTTAATGGCGAGCTATTAGTTTTGAACGCGAAGACAATCCTTCCAACTATATTTAATCCTTCCCAATTTTAGTTTCAAACGAGCAAACGCCCACGCGAAACTAATTATTTCCACCTTAACGACAATTCTTAACCGTCCACCGAGCTTTAATCGCATTAAACCCAAGAGAATTTCCCACCATTTCACCTAAGCCAAGGAGAGCGCACAAGTAGCTCGATTCGATCCAAATCCAAATCGATCTCGGGTACCTTTTCATCTGGTTCGACGAGACCAGATCCAGCAAACAAGTACCTATCCGTATAGGTGCTCTGAAAATAATCTTTGCCAAACCCATGAGGCGCACAATATCGTCTTTGCCCGTGCAGCCATCAGCCCCGTGTGGTTCGAGCAAATATTATCACATCTATTATTAGTCGATCGTCGGTTGGCGAACGGGATTCCTCTAAAAACATGGTTACACGTGCACGCCATTTCCGGCCTGTTGAACGTAAACGTACGCTAGTCGCCGCGATCGATCCCTCTTTCGTTTTGTTGCATCGAATTCCGTCGGCCCACTGTTCCATCTTGAAACCTCCTCCTTGTTCTCCCCCTTGTTTGTTACGCCTTGTTTTAGAAAATGGAAATACCGCTCGCGCACTTGCTTTCACTTATTTTTCGAGGTGAAAAATATTTTTTTCGCCTTTGAAGCGCGAGCTCGTTATCTCGACGAGCGAGGTTTCTCCTTAAATCTTCGGAATCACTGAGATTCCAATGGTTCTCCCGAGAGGCAGGGCGATCTTCTTTGAGGAACTATAGATCTCTCCTCGAGATCATCCTCTTGTCAGACGTGAAATTCTCAGGCGAAAAATTCTTGGACCTTTTTGCTTGCGAGATACGCGCACGTACGATTGAAAAATAATAAAATGACGAGTAAATAAATTTTTTTATAAATAAATTTTCGTCTCGTTGTTGTTTCGATGAATTTAAGGAAGTTTGGAAAGTTGTTTTTCTTTTTTTTTTTAATTAAAGCCGAGCCACAGTTTACCGCAATAAACGAGCGGATGCAGTTGGACAGCTGCGCGTTATTAAGCCTACGTTCTAGATTTCTATTAAAATGCAAAGCAATGCATCGCGCATATTGCAGTTGATCAGTTGAGCGTGATTATTCTTGGTGAGCGAGAAAAGGGTTCACTTCGTTCGGAGGGGGAGGGGCAGAAAAGGAACGTAGATAATATGAAACGTGACCAATATTTCACGCTCGACATTTCGAATGTTTCACAAAGGTAAGGATCGATATTTCAGAATCTGGAACCGAGATCCTCGTAAATAATACATATGCGATTCCGAATAACGCGGTCATCTTTTTCACGCGTCGATATATATTTATAATCTCTTTTCAGATGTAAACGATTCTCTTCCCTCCCGAGAGAAGTATTAATAATGTATGTATGTTTCGTTTTTTTGAAAAAGAAAATATATCGCGACTCTCCCGATATAAAGCATGCAAATATTCCCTGTAAATCAATCACAGAATCTCGAAACGTTTTCTGGTATAAAAGCAATTGTACCGCGATTTACTTAACTACGAGTTACAGCGACGATAACACACGTGCACCTCTAGCGTTCATTTAATAAACCCCAAATAATTTCCGTCCTCCAGCCACCATTTTCCAACCTCTATTTTTATTTCATTCGACACGCTTCACTTTATACGATGAATTTCGAAAAATTTATACGTTATACTTTACGTTTCACGTACAAAAATGAATAAGATTGTTTAAGAATTTTTCTTTAAAAAAATAACAAAAAAAGAATTGTTCTTATAATTGCTTTAGTTACTATTTATAATAATTATACATACGAATACATTCGATTCCGTATCGCGACATTCGAGACACCGTAACCCAAAATAAATCAAACGAGTCAACGATCAAGGAAAATAAACAAATCAATGTACGAATTTCGATCGAGCGTCATTCGTTCGACGAATGGCGGCGAGTTAACATCCTACGTAACGCCTTGTTGAATAATTCTCTGCTTGGGGGTGTATTTGGGACTGATACAACCGAAAATGGACATAACGTGGCCACGTGGATTGACCGACGGGCCGTGAGGATCGCGTGCGGCCAAGGTCGAGCCACG